TAGGATCAACAACAACAACTAAGAACAAAATTATAATTTTATCAAATGCTTTAATAATATTTTATTTAATAATATTTAATAATATTTTTGCATAGTTTCAAAATTGATCAATTATCCAATATTAGCAAATTTTACAAATACAAAAAGATGACATAAATACTTAAATAAAGAATTTATCACATAAAATGTATGTTTTCGAAGTTTGAATTAGTTTTCAAGCATAGTCGGGTCCTAAAGTATTTTTCTCAAATGACATTGTTTTATGAGATCTGAAATTAATTAGATTTAGCTCCATTATTTTAAACTTAATTGTTTCTGAAGGATTCGATAGATTAAGTAGTCGTTGCCCATCCAGTTTAGTGAAAATTTTTAATTTTTTATCAATAACTTCTATCATATGGACATATTGTGTCTGCAAAATTTATTATAGAATAAAGTTAAATAGAGGAGGCGAAATTGTTATGTAAATATAGCATCTAAAATTTTTTTCGGTAAAAAGATTTTTATATTATTCAAACATTATTCAGATCATGTACACACACACACACACACACACACACACACACACACATATATCATTATGCTGCTAATACAATATGTTGTACTTTTTCATTAATACAATATTTATAATCCTAAATATATGTATATATTTTGCGATCAAAAATTTAATAAAATTGTTGAAACAATTAGGGAATTATAGAAAATCATTAACGCTGTCGTACAACAATTAATTTTTTTGTATTTAACAAGAACAAAACAGAATAAATAAATCATAAAATATGTAGAAAAGTTCTCTCTTATACATATCATTTTTGCTCCCTCATATCTCAATCCTCAGAATAATTGCAGTCCTTTCTATTTTTCAGAATATGTAAATTCTTCATTTGTAAATTCTTTTTATCAGAGAAATTTTCCGCTATTAATCTAATTTGAAAATTAGAATCCTCATTTGTATCTTCTTTTCTATATTTTACATTTACATTATATATGGTTGTGCAAGCGCCTATTGAAATATTTTCATCGTCACTGAAACTTGAGTATAATACATTAGTCCATATATCAATATTCATGTTGAATTGGTGAATAATATTTTTAACAAAATTCTTTATCATATTATTTTCAGTGTTATATCTTATTCTTGTGATATATCATGACTCCCGAATTCTATTTTGAACAACAATCCTATTTGGATTAGATTATTCTTCGCAATCTCATATACCAAATTATTAAAATTTGTAGTCACGAATATGACATCGTGCAAGTTACAGAGAAGATTTTTCGATACGAAACATTGACATGTTATTGTAGATATTAATTCCGTAGTTTTTTAAACGTCTTATATTCTGTCTTGGTTTGCTTCACTTCGTACAACTATTCAAGATCAAAAGTTGAATTTTTTGATATGTTTACAAGAATTCCTAAAAAAACAAAAGTTTAGTCAATTTATTATCATTATTGTCACGTATTATTATAAAAATTAATCTTCTCGTAATTTACCATTTAAAATTTATATTCTACTCACAACTTGTTTATCATATCATTAGAAATTTGGTGTTAAATTTAACACATGTGCCACTCAAATTTATGTGTTAATTTAACACAAGATGTGTATTAGGAGAAAACACAAATAATATTTTTAAAAAATAAACACGAAGTAATATTGATATAATTCGTAAAAAAACTGTGACGCATATTTTTTCAAAATTAACATAAAATTATAACATAAAATTAACATTTATTATATTATATATTAAATTAATATATTAACATATATTGTTTATTTCATCTTAGAATTTATTTAAACATTATTTTTTTATATTAATTATTAT